TTTCTCGCTTTCTTCCTAAATGCCCTCACTTCTCTCTCTCTCTCTCCCTTTCTCTTTTTAAGCCACCTTATTCTCCTTCCTCTCCCCCTCCTTCTCTTTTCTCTCCCTCTCTCTCTCTCTCGCTCTGTGTCGCAGTCACAGCGAACCATCTCCATCCCTCACTCTCTCTCCCATTCCTCCTCTCTCTCTGTCTTAAGTATGAAGGGGCTGGGAGTGCTCGGCCCTCTCCCTCTCCCTTTCCCTTCTTCCATTTCTCTCTCCTCCTCTTCCTCCTCCTCTCCTTCTCCTCCTCTCTCGCGGCTCGCGCTCTCTACTGTCTCGCTGGAAGACGAGAAGGAGAAGGAGCAGGAGAAGGAGGAGGAGGAGAGGGAGGGGAGGAAATGGCGATGGGGGCATGCGGCGAGGAGGATCTCTCCCTCTCCCTCTCCCTCTCTTCTTCCTGGCCATCGCTCGGCCCTGTGAATAGGAGCGTCTGGTTCATTTACAGGTACCTGCCATGGCTTTTTATACCCCCCCTTACCCTCTGCTTCCTGCCTCTCTTTCCCCCCCTCTTCCTCCAGTTGCCGGGGGGGGAGGAGATGGAGGGGCAGAGCGAGGGATGCATGCATGTGGACATCATGGATGGCAGGGCAGGATCGATAAGATAGACTGACAGATGTTACAAAGCATGCCTGCAGACAGATGTTTGTGATTCAGCGTGCCTGAGTGCGAGTGTGTGTGATGCATGTGTGTGAAGACGGACGAGTGCTGCTGCTGCACAGCCCGGTGTATGAGCAGTGCAGTCGTTCTGTGTTTCGCTGTATGAACATGTGTGTGTCATCTTCTTTCTCTCTGCTTTGAATCGCTCTCTGTTCTCTCAACTGTTCTCTTGCGATGCTGCACCGGGAGAAGTGACGCTTGCTGCTTTTACTGACGTGCAGATTGATGGCGTGTTTGTTTGCGTGCATGCATGCCAATGTCTGTGTGTTTGTATGTGTGCGCGTGCTCTGGATAGATGGATGGCATGTTTGCTGCTGTCCATCTAAGACAAAAAAAAAAAAAGGTAAATGGCAAGCAAATTACCCCCTGTCCCCCCCATACTGGCTGGTTAATTGTATATTTTCTTGTGTCCTGTTTGCTGTGTGGCGTGTTTCTGTATGTTTACCAGAATGTACATACATGTGTCCGTGTGTGAGAGAGATAAAAAAGGGGGGACTGCCGACAGAAAGGAAACAGCGCATGGTGAGGGAGTTTTAAGGATGCAGCATGCATTACAAGTTCCAGCTTCTCTCTGACACCTCTATGGAAGCCTGCTTGGCCAAACCTGTTTAATGCCTTGGCTTCCTACCTATGCAGCATGAGACACACTCTACACTGTGCTGCATTGTCCAGCTCAATCGCTTTCTGATGACAACATTGTGTCCCGGGTCAGTGGCTGGATCCTCTGAGCGATGCAGTGCACAGAGGTGTATCTGAGCGCCCGATCCTCTTCCTCCTCATTAAATGAGACGGCAGAAGCTCGCAGTCTGAAACCTGTGTTGTGTTCAGGTATCAACTTGAGAAGAAAACAATCTCCAAAAACTAAAAGTGGAGATTTAATCAGGGATACGTTTAATTAAATCCGCTCACAGGTTTGACAAGCACACACAACTTGGAAATAATGTTAAGATTTTTCTGTTGTTCTGTAATTCTCTAACATGACCAGAC